TAATAAACAATCTAGAAAATATTAAAGATCCATTTCGGCTATAAATAAAACAGATAATCGATGTCTATTATATTAAATCACGAGCTAAAAGTTTGCTTTAATTTCGGGTGAAGATAAAAACAAAAATTGTCCAACATATCGATATTTTATTATTAAGGTCTCCCTTCATCAAAGCTTTCGGCTCACATGAACCATCTTCAGAGTGGTTATACGGACAATTAAACAAAGATATTCATCATCAAAGATGATATTCTCTTATGTTGACATAGAAGATTGCTATGCGAGGATAACGGGTAACATGCTATTCCGCTACCATTTTTTGGTCTGGAAATGTCATTATAACCAATTTCTCTTGTTGGCAAAGTTTGCAGATATTGATATGATAGTTGTAATGTTTAGCTATTTTTAATTTTTTTCATTTTACGATTGGATCTTTTTTTTTTTTTTTTTCTACTTAATTTCCACGCATGATTGGCTAGTGGAATTTGTAAGGCTTTCTAGCTTAAAAGATGAATTATGACTGTACCACCACTTTTTAAAGTTACCCACAGTACACCCTATACCGAAAGGTTGAAACCAATGTACCGGAATCGACTGATTTCCTAAATTTCTATGCTTAAAAGCTCTACATGTTAATTTTTTCTTATCTTTTTATAAGTGTTTTAAGCGCGTTTTTATTACTACCTTTCCTTTGTAACTTATAATACAGTGTAACCCGGATATAAAAGACCCGGATATAAGAGAAACCCGGATATAAGAGACATCTTCTCCGGTCCCGACAACTCTCTTATATCCGGGTTACAATATATATATATATATATATATATATATATATATATATATATATATGCACACACTACAGGTAATTGATCCGTCGATATATAATCGGGGTAGATCCTAATAATATTTTTTTATTAAAACTGATCCACAGACAACTTGACGTATTTATTATATCCATATGTATTTTTTACAACAAAAAACAAAACTTACCTCAACATGGTATAGTCTATTTCAAGCCGTTCTGTACACGGCTATCATCAGCCCCTAAGTGTCTGTCTCAGAGCATTGTTTCAAATTTATTTTCAGTGTCGGTCCTCCTCTGATAGTCGCCTTGTTACTGAAAATTGGCTCGTGTCAGCGACTGTGTGTTCGTAAGGTATCTTATTCCAGAGGGAAGCGCTGTGTGGCTGGAGTTTATTTATGGTGAGAAACTTTCGTTGTTTCTAGTTTAATATCAGTTCCTACTATGTGGCGTTTCTTATACGATCCCCAAGTATGTTTTCCTGGGATTCACATTACATACTTTTTGTACTACAGGTGCCCAATATTAGCAATATGCTTTGGGGGATTTAAACTTAGCCCGTTAAGACTAATATAAATTAGTTGAGTTATAGATTTATAGATTGTGATGTCAGAGCACCCAATGGAATGAATCATGCTGTCCAACATACTTATAAGCGTACATATCTTCATACATACATATATGTACATTTACATGTCCATACATATATGCCACTACACAAACACACATACACACTCACATATATACATATGTATTCTTATGTAATTTTGAATCTATTTCTATGTCTATATTTCGTGATTAATTCTCTCCGTTGATTTAATAGTTTGCATTGATCTTTATATTTTATTATCCTGATTTTTTTTCCTTCTAAACATTCGTTGCACCTACCCCTAACACTATTGGGTTTTTCGCGAAACCTAAAATTTTCTCATTTTTATAGGATTCAGGCCCTTTTCCATCCATTCTTTTTTTTTTTCCAAAGGGCTGTTTCGTGTTTCAATTTTGGATAGGAGAATGCCGAGGTAAATATTATGGTTTGTCAAATTTTCTTTAGGGGTAATGATTGCCAAATGGAGATCCTCTACGGTAGTATACCAGGTTATATTTTTATTTATATATTCTCCCCTACATTCTTCCTAATATTGACCTTCCTGGATATGAGGATAAAATACATCCACGTCCTGGGTAAGCTCTTAAACTACGTCCGGGTCCTGGGTATGACGATAAACTACATCCAACAGCAATACCTCTGATGATGAGGTTTTGAGGAGCTTGGAACCACATCTTAATTGCTGGTGTTACAAGGTCCACTCTGTCATGGGGTGGTAGCACCTGTTAGGGTCCCAGCTATGGGCAAATTAGTTAACCACGAAACTGGGGTAAAAATGGGTTTTAATACCAGAAATACTTTGTAAAAAAATATATCAGCAATTAATTTTTGAAGAAAAAATCTATTACCAGCAATACATTTTTGAAAAAAAAAATAATACCAACAATAAGTTTTTGAAAAAATATTACCAGCAATACTTTTTTTAAAAAAATTATTACCAGAAATAGATTTTTGACAAAACAAAATATGACCAGCAATAAAAACTTTGTCGGCATTAAATAACCCAATAAGGATGATATGCCATAAACCAAAGCAAACCAAACTAAACCAGCTATAAATTATAGATAGATTGAATGAGGATTTAGGAAACTATGGATGTTATGTTTAATGATTAAATATTCTTCTTCTTCTATATGCCATTTTCTTTTGAGAATGCAAACGTTAATGGTTCTCCCCATCTTCCTCTACTTTGTAGCTACTAACAATGTGTGTTCTTTTCCTATATCCCCTAATCTCTATTCTACCAATTATTTATACAAATTTTTAGGTAGGTTATTCACCGCTTTCTTCTGTCCTTCTTGGCTTTCGCATCTCTTGAATGTGTCAAATTTTCCAACCTTCTTTTCTCATTATGTTCAATAAAGTTTTCAACTTTTTTTTCTGATTTTAGGCGTAAATTTTCTATATATTTTCATTTTCTCTAAAAGTTCAAAAGTTACAAGCAATACATTTTTACAAGAAAAAGTTGCAGCAATACATCTTCGTAAAAAAAAAAAGATAGTTGCCAGCAATAAATTCTTGTAAAAACAAAGTTGCCAGCAATACATTTTTGTAAAAAATATTCGCCAGCAATGCAGTTTTGAAAAAGAAATAGTTGCCAGAAATAGTTGTAACAGAATTTGCCAGCAATACATTTTTGCAATAAAAACGTTGGCAGCAACAAATTTTTTGCAATAAAATGTTGCCAGCAATACAATTTCGTAACAAAAATGTTGTTAGCAATACATTTTTGCAACAAAAACATTGCTAGAAATAATTTTTTGTAAAAAATGTTGCCAGCAATAAATTTTTCTACTAAAAAATGATGCCAGAAATCAATAAATTTTTTTCAAGGAAAGAAAATTGCCAGCAATACATATTTTGTCAAAGAAATTACTATTGCTACCAAGAACATTACAGCAAGGAAGCATGCAAACATGATCAGTTAATGATATTCACAATATTCTGTAGAACCTCATTCAAAATATACCAGATAAAATCGGGCAGAATGTTCGGTACAAGATATGTAAATACGATATACCGTAATTCCCCGTGTATAATACGCATTTTTTCTAAAAAATAATACGAAAAAACAGGTGTATGTATTAAGCAAAGCTACCAAATATCTATAAAATTTGCCTTAAAATAAAATAAGAATTATCATAAAACTATATTAGAATAATATTATTCTGTTTAAAACCATTTTTCTTAAATAAGAGTAGGAAACGCTGGAGAGGTACAATTTATAAATTTGATTACCAAACAAGGTGCGCGTATTATGCGTGAGTAAAAACATTTTCACACACTTTCAGAACAATTATAGTTGTGCGTACTATGGATGAAGGGGCTTTATACATGAGGAATTACTGTATGTAAATACATATATACATACCCAATAAGAACACACCATTTTCTATGCTTTATATCTCTCTCTCTCTCACACACACACACATACATATATATATATATATATATATATATATATATATATATATGTGTGTGTGTGTGTGTATCGAGTGGCCTGACGATTGCATCTAGCATGAAACAGACTGTCGCCTCTAAGTGTTGACTTCTATGTTCACTTTTATATATATATATATATATATATATATATATATATATAAGAAAAACAGACCACTTTAAGGTACCATTATAATAATTTATTTCACCAGAGCCCTTTGAAAGGAAGCCGGATCATCAGATAGCACTTCCCAAAATTTTTTTTCTGTTTTTCTTTTAAATAATGAGCTCTCAGGATTTCGTCCTCCTTGGGATTACCCATACGGATTACCAAGTTCTTCATAATTATATATATATATATATATATATATATATATATATATATATATATATATATATGTGTGTGTGTGTGTGTGTGTGTGTGTGTGTTTAGAATATAAGAATATTTTCGATGGAGATAATAATGATTTTATAATCCTTACTAGTTAACCAGTAGCAGTGAATATTTGGATCCATTGCCTCTCCCCTATTTGTGAATATAACGAACACAGCTGTAATTGGAACCCAGCTCCCCGATTAACAATTCCAAAGCCATTATTCATTACACCACCCACACATACAAGCTTAAATCGCCTGCTATTCCCAAGTGGTCACCTATCTAGGTACCGGCCAAGTTCGACGTTGCTTAACTTCAGTGATCGTTCAAGAACCAGTGTTTGACGTGATGTGCCGGAAGCACATATGTATGTGTGTGTGTGTGTCTGTTTCTCAGAGTGTGTGTTTGTGTTGTGGCAAAAAACCACGAAGGAAAACGATGGCTGGAAAGTGTGTAATTACAAGAACTCTTGTGAAGATCTTGGAATAAAGAAAACAAACAAAACTATCGAAAAGTGTAGAAGAAGGGATTTGCAGGAAGAGGGGATTAAAGAGCAGGCGGAGCAGGGATTGGGTGTTGTGAGGGCAATGAAGGCGGCAAGTGAAAGACAAATAAACGGGAATTAACTGTGTAAACAATTGGGCAGCAGTTGAGAGGCTGACTGCAATGCGCACTAAACGAACTGAAAGGGGTTGATCGTAAAAGCGACACGTGTGGGCTCCACATCTAACAGGCGTAAGAGTCTTAAACAATAGGCAGAGATTGGCAAAGTATTAGACATGAAGAGAATCGGATAGATAGATAGATAGATAAATAGATAGATAGATAGATAGATAGATAGATAGATAGATAGATAATGACTGTAGATAGACATAGTGAGATAGACAGATGGATAGACAGATAGACAGATAGATAGCAACAGATGATAGATAGATAGATAGATAGATAGCAACAGAGTGACTATAGATAGATAGCGACAGAGTGACTATAGATAGATAGATAGATAGATAGATAGATAGATAGATAGATAGATAGATAGATAGCAACAGTATGACTATAGATAGATAGATAGATAGATAGATAGATAGATAGATAGATAGCAACAGAGTGACGATAGATAGATAGATAGATAGATAGCAACAGAGTAACGATAGATAGATAGATAGATAGATAGATAGCGACAGAGTGACGATAGATAGATAGATAGATAGATAGATAGCAACAGTGTGACTATAGATAGATAGATAGCAACAGTGTGACTATAGATAGATAGATAGATAGATAGATAGATAGATAGATAGCAACAGTGTGACTATAGATAGATAGATAGATAGCAACAGAGTGACGATAGATAGATAGATAGATAGATAGATAGATAGCGACAGAGTGACGATAGATAGATAGATAGATAGAAGAAATACACAAACTGGGGATATATATATATATATATATATATATATATATATATATAATTATATAATATATATATATAAATATATATATATATATATATATATATATATATATATATATATATATATATATATATATATATATATATGATGAAATGAGTTAAGTGCTAAAGAGCATTATCTACAAATCTATTAAAATAACACTTTATCTAATAATGTCTAGCTATCTTTCAAAATAACTCTTTAATAACAAGATTTTTAGATAACGAGTTATTTTGATAGATAGATAGATAGACAGACACTGGAATATATATATATATATATATATATATATATATATATATATATATAGAGAGAGAGAGAGAGAGAGAGAGAGAGAGATAGATAGACACTGTGATAGATAGATAGATAGATAGATAGATAGATAGATAGATAGATAGATAGATAGCAAGCAACACTATTATACGAAGATATTCGGATAAATATACATAAATGGCCCAAAATAGATATATAGTTAAATAGGTAAATACTAACTTTATTAGATAATCTGATAGATAGATAGTTAGGTATTGAAGAGCATTATCTACAAATAAATCTTTACCTAATAATATATTTAGCTATCTATCAAAATAACTCTTTATCTAATAACAACATTATTAGATAACTAATTATTTTGATAGATAGATCGATCGATAGATAGATAGATAACAGCATTATTTATAAAGATGTTTTGATAGATAAATATAAATGATCCAAAATAGATATATAGTTAAATAGCTAGATATTAACATTATTAGATAATCTGACATAGCTAGATGGATAGATATGACTATATGAAAATTTCTACGATCTTTCATGCGAAAAAACAAATAAACCCCCCCCAAAAAAAACCCTTCGATATCACTAATATAGATGAATGTACAATACATTTTTTTTTCTAGCGATCGCCATTTTTGTTTATACTCAAATAAGAAGATATCATAGCCATATTGTGTATAGATACATTGATAGACATATATTGAATGAAAGTGTTTTTAAAAAGAAATCTTAGGAAACGAGCTTCATTTTGATCTTGTTCCCTAAGGCTTCAACCTGGGTGGGCTTCTTGGGAACAAATTTGTTTGGCTAAGAGGATTTCTCTGAACATCCTAGCATACGGCCCTAGGGGAATTTAACATCAAGTATATAAGGCCCCCACTCAATCGGGAATACGGAATAAAGGCAATCCGACAGGGTTAGCGGTAAATCTTTCCCGACTCTCACATAAATCTTCGCCGTTTTATCTTAATTGTGTAATATGACCTACATATACATACCTTACGTGTGATGGTGTATGAGACATAATTCTTGGTTGTCTAGGTTTGAGTTGTGTATTTCTAACTTCATGCGCCAAGTAGTTTCATGACATGTGGGTTCATGGCTCTCCCTAATTTCTTATGTTTTATTGCTCGAAGTAATTTTTAACCCTTAACCATACGTCTAAGTCCGTTCTGCCATTAATTCACAATCTCATTAGGTTACGTGTTAATTCCTCCTCTTTCTTTTGCTTTCACTATTCCCCCCGGGTGTGTTAAATTATCGAGGGTTTCTTTCTATATTTCGCGTCCTAAATATTTCGACTGTCAAAAAGATTCCTTTTTGTTCTTTGACTATTAACATCATCATCATCAGTTGGCTATTAACATCATCATCAACATTTCCCTATTACCATCATCATCAACATCATCATTTTGATCGTAAAGCTATTAACATCATCATCATTTGTCTGTTAATATCATCATCATCATCATCATCATCATCATTTTGTTCTCAGAACTATTAACATCATCATCATTTGCCTATTAACATCATCATCATTTTGCCTATTATCATCATCATCATCATCATCATCATCATTTTTCTTACAGTAATTAACATCATCATCATTTATCTACTATCATCATCATCATCATTAATTTTCTTAGAAATATTAACATTATCATCATTTGCCTATTAACATCATCATCATCATCATTATTTTGTTATTAGAGCTATTAGCATCATCATTTGCCTATTAATATCATCATCATCATCATCATTATGTTGTTCTTAAAGCTACTAACATCCTCATCATTTTCCTATTAACATCATCAGCATCATTTTATTCTTATAACTATTAACGCCATCATCACTTGGCTGTTATCATCATCAATTGGCCATTAACATCCTCATCATTTGTCGTACGTAGTCGGGATCATCGAACCAATGCGAACGATCCTTTCCTTGGCCGTATAGTATATGCTACATTAAGGCCACATAAAGTTTTGAATTCAGGGTTACTTTCTTCTAGACCGGTTGCCACCCAGTCTGTCCTGCCATAATTTAATACCGAAGTGAATGTAATGGATTCAACTGGAATTAGAACTCGGTTCTCCGATTCCTCAATCCGAACCACGATCCATTACTCCACTTTTCAGTTAGAAACATTGAAGACCGCCATAACAGTCACATCCATCATCATCATCATTTGTTGACCGTAGTTTGGATCATAAAGCCAATGTGAACGATCCTTTCCTTGGCAGGATAGCATGTCCTACATCAGTGTAATATAGAGTTTTGAATTCAGGGTTACTTTCCCCTAGATAGGTTTGCCATCTAACGGTATAGAACTCAGTCTATCCTGCAATTAACGCATAGCTGGAAGGAAAAGAAGAGCATTCGTACTTTTCCCAAGGTATTTAGTATTCGATTCCATAATCCGAGCCAATGTCCATTAATCCAATATGCCTCCCTCTAATAGAATTAACAAATGTGTTAAATGCTCTGAAAGGACAAATATTTTCTGATATCGCCAGGGATGTCAGCAAATATCCAACAACTAGTGAACACATTATTCAATGGTATAAAAGAAATCGAGGAATAATTCCAGCAATGGCAGTATTACCTTACGACGTGTATCGCTCCGTAAGGGGAGTACATTGAATTTGACAGCAGCCAGTAGGTCTTAGGTAAGCAAACATTCCTTTTCCAGGATCATTCCGGGTATTATATTGCCAAACCTCGTATATTTATCCGATTAAAGATATTTCTGTTCTATTTCCAGTCTTGATAGAGTTCAGGAGCACATACGAGTCCTTGTAATTATTTATGTCCAACCTGGGCCTTGGGCCACATTACGTTGAAATATTGCTTTCCGTAGGATCACCTAAGTTAAACAACGTCGACCCAAGTCAGTGAATTTCTATCTCATGATTCCGGAGAATACCCACCAAGACATTAGTCATTCCTTGTACTTTCGAATTATTTTTTTCTTCTTCTCTAGACATGGTAGCGGAGCTAATAAGATCTCATCTATCAGCGAATATTTGATAGAATTTCATCATCATCATCCGTAATCATCATCATCATCATCCTCATCCATGGTCATCATCTTCATCTGTCGTCATAATCATCATCATCATCTGTCGTCATAATCATCATCATCATCCGTCGCCATCAAAATCATCCTCATCATACGTCGTCGTCATCATCATCATCATCATTCTCATCATCATCCGTCTTTGTCGTCATCAACATCGTCCTTGTCATCCTTCATCATCATCATCATCATCATCATCATCCGTCTTTGTTGTCATCAACATCATCCTCATCAATCCATCATCATCATCATCATCCCTCATCGTCTTCATCATCCGTCGTCGTCAACATCGTCCTCATCATCCGTCATCATTCATCATCCGTCGTCGTCATCATCATCATCCCCATCTGCCGTCATCAACATCATCTTCATCATCCTTCATTATCATCATCATCATCGTCATCATCAACATCATCCTCATCATCTATCCTCATCATCATCCGTCGTCATCCACGTCTTCCTCATCATCCATCATCATCATCATCATCAGTCGCTGTCATCATCATCCTCATCATCCGTCATCATCATCATTCTCATCATCCGTCGTCATCCTCATCCGTCGTCATCATCATCCGTCATCATCAACATCGTCCTCATCATCTGTCATCATCATCATTCCCATCATCCGTCGTCATCATCATCATCGTTCGTCGTCGTCATCCTCATCCGTCGTCATCAACATCGTCCTCATCATCCATCATCATCATCATCATCATCATCGTCCGCCGTCGTCGTCATCAACATACGTGGTCATCAACATCGTCCTTCATCATCCGTCATCATCATCATCACCCGTCGTCGTCGTCATCATCACCATCAACAGTTGTTATCTATCATCATTTTATTCGGATATAAATTTGAAATTGAAAAATAACGATATAGAAGCAACATATAAGATTCGCCAGCGGCGCGTAGAAGTAGTCAACTGCTAGAAGTGAGTTAAGTGACTTCCACAATGAATCACTAACTGCAGATCGACATACAGTATTCACTACTGCATTTATGTGAATGTGGACATACCCGTTATCGTCCGTAGGTATGCTGCAACATTTTCTATGTGTTGTTTCCCTTCAGGACCTTGGCGATCATGGGTCTCCACAATTTCTTTTGTATTTTATATATATATATATCAAAACCTTTTCTGCGATAAATTCGCACTAAGATACCACCTAGGCTAGTTGTTATCAGGTTAAAAACACTTTTCCTAGCAAACCCAGGCTAATTCAAATTAACAGTTAAAGGTAAATGATTCCTGCTATATTTCCAAACATTAAATTTCCAAATATAGATATTGAAAGAAAACTGTTTAATTCTCTTACAAGTAACACTACATCTCACTAAAATTCTCCAAACCCACACACTTTCTAATACACTTCACAGCTTATTAACAGAAACAATTAAATGTCAACATTTTCAAACACAACTGAATTACTATTTTGTATAATTGTTCTTACCTCTATCTATAAAAGGCAGGATGTGTGTGTGTGTGTGTGTGTGTGTGTGTGTGTGTGTGTGTGTGTGTGTGTGTGTGAATGCACGGCCGCAATTTTCGAAAGATTTGCACCAAAATTTACATGCACATGCTCCAAGTTAGTGAGAAGGCCAAGACCGACTTTGCATTTCCCAACTCCCATTCATAGGGGAAATAATCGATTTTTTCATGCCTTTACGGCAGTTTTCATGTACTTTGCGGCCATTTTGTACTGGTCAGAGTGAGAGCCAATAGCTGGCTGCCACCAATAGGCAGGAAGATTCTATTGGCCAGCGTGAGAGCCAACAGCTGCCTGACACGAATGTTAACTAGCATGCCAGCATGCAAAAAAAAAAAAAAAAAGAAAAGAAATCGATAGCTGCATTCGTCACCAGTGGGAAAAATTTAAATCTGCATGGCACTTTACTCCAATTGGCTCATTCGCTTGCTTAAACTCAACGTTGATTCTGATTCCGCAGAACTGGGTTGGGTGTGAAAAAGTATTTGTTGTTAACATTCTTTTTTTCATTCGGTTTTTCCAGTTACGAGTCCTTTTTTTTTAAGCTGATCGTTTTGTTTCATTTTGTTTAGTTCTTTTTTCATAACAGATTTAATGTTTAGTATAGAGCTTAGAAAAAATTCGCAGTGTGAGATAAGCAAGAAGTATGGCATGTAGCAACATCAGCACGGAAAAGGGCCCTCCTTTAAAGGCAAGGAAGGGCAAAAATATTTTAAGTCAAGTGATAGCGATTGCTGTATGAGTCGTACGATTTTTGAATCAAGCACAGGCAACGCCGGGCCATGCTGCTAGTGCATATATAAATTCCATTTACTTATGTAACCTTT